ATAACAGTTCTTTTGATTGTAATAGACAGACTTACTTCCTTACTTGAGTACTTGAGCAACTGTATGTCATCGACGTTCGTTGTCGTGCCATCGATGTAGCCAGCAACTTCTCCATTCACCTCGTTGTTGCGCTCTTCGAGACTACGTTGTACCGTACAGACGTACTATGGGGTCTCTCCACCTCGCTGGTGGCTCCCCCAGTGTTCGCTTGGCCGTGTGCGGGTACTATTCTATTATCCGTTTCGTCCATCTATTATCTGTTGTTCGTGCCACATGACTTTATACACTTCGTCAATCAATTTATTACTTTTACCTTTTCCTAGCTATGCTGGAAAGGTAAAAATTATACATTTCATCCTATAAATTCTTATAAATTCCTATAAATTCTTCAGTGGACTGGTCGAATTCTGGTGGCGCTGAAGCAACAGTACGAATAACTTGTGGTGGAAAAGAGGTACCATTTACGATGAAACGTATCAAGCCTGGCTTGCATGTGTGTTCGTTCACACCGCGACAAGTTGGCCTACATCTGGTTGATGTATTCGTCAATGGTGTTCTCTTGCCAGGTAAGCATTGCATAATTTGACATATTTTTAGTGGAGAGTTTGGAAGAATTTATAGGAATTTCCAAGTCCTTTGTAATTTTATGGTATCCATTTCCGAAAGACAGAGATGCTCAAAATTAGTTTTATTTCCAGCATTTTTTCAGTAGGATGTACCCGCAGATAAGACTGGCTTCTTTTTGAGGACTGAGGACTTTTAAGGGTCCTGACATGCTCATTTTCCTTTGACACAGTTAGGGAATCATGGAGAGATTGGTTATCTTGCCTTTGGGAATAGGCGCCTGTTAATAAATTATACCTGTAACAGCCATTAGCACTTATTCTGGTTTGTTATGCAGCTGGCAATTCTTCCAGTTACTTCGACCGATGCCGTATTACCGAACGGTCAGCATTTTGGTGTCTCCTGAAATGAATACTCGCTTTAGCCAAATGCACTTGAAAAGGGCTTTAGCCCTTTCGAAAAATCATTAGCGTGTGTTGAGTGCCTTCTCTTTTCCGCGTCGTTACCTCTAGGCTGCTATAAGTTGCCTTGCTGACTAGCAAGCAAAAAAAAATCTATAAAATTAAGAAAAAATTTATTAAAAAATTAAATATGTTGCGTTTATTTATAAAAAAATTAGGAAATATACGTCTTATTTTATAGAGTGCCCATACGAATGTGTTGTAAATGATTCGGGAACCGTACGAGCGCATGGTGACGCATTAACACGTGCGCAGCGTGGCAAAATAGCTCGGTTTGAAGTTTCGATGGCTGATACGGGACGCGGTGAATTGGACGTTGTGATTTCAGGTAATCATGCAAATTCAAGTGTTTTCAGATGAAATTTGAAACCCAAGCTTGTTTTTAAATTTTGATTGTTCGGCGTATATGATGGGTATTAGTAGGGAAGGTTAGACAGTCCAGGATAATGGGGTGATTCCCCGCACCAGGTTTTAAGGCTGAGATAACGAATCTAAGTATTGCATGTACCGATAAAAAATAAATTATAGAACAGCCTATTTTTTATTCCTTCCAAATTATGACTTGTGGGTATATACACTTATGGGCCATAGGTTTATAACTTGATAATTTTTGGCAATTTTTCTTATGGTTTATTTGTAATTTCTTTAGACCCATGTGCTGGTAATAGTTTCCAGCTTTTACGTCAAGTGAGTTAGTGTTCTCCTCCCGGACATAGGCGGATCCGGAAGCCCGGGTCTGTTCATAAATAAGACTAAAATAACTCTAAGTAGCAGTGTTACAGCTCTATTCCTAATTTTTTCATAGTTCTTTTCACAATATTTCGGAGCTA